ACATTTTCTACAAATAGCTTGAATTACCTTAATAATTTTATAAATGATGCTTATACATCTCAGTCTAATAATTCCACTTCTGGAAATTCATGCTAAAGAAATAATCTTAAATAAAGAAAAAGCTTAGTGCAGAAATTTTCAACTGGGTGTCATTAATAATAGCAAAATACCAAAAACTTAGAGGAAGGTAGAGTACCCAAATCGTGGTCAACTATTATTATGCAGCCATTAAACTCAAGTTTAGGAAGAGCTTATAATACCACGCTAAATATACAGAATTAAATGGAAAAAATTAGAACACCAAATTATATATAACATATGACCAAAAGTACTGGAAAAATTATGCTAAGACTCAAATGAAATACATCAAAAGATTAACACAAGGTATCTTTGGGTAGAAAAACTTGGATTTATTTTCCTTTTTTCTTATTTTACACTTTCATATTATCTAGAGTGAGGATGTATGATTTTTATGTAGAAAAATGTTCCAGACAAGTAGAGCAGCTGACTTAACCTGTGAACAGAGAGAATTATCAGTGGGGATGATTTTCTTTCTTATTCTCCATTTTCCAAATTTACTATATGGCATTTATTAATTTTTATAATGTAAACTTTTATATAATTTTATTAAAAAAGCAATGGGTAAGTGAAGGTCATTCCCTTTTCTCACTCCTGTGAGGACTGCTCTTTTTTTTTTGCAGTTTTTGGCCAGGGTCGGGTTTGAACCCACCACCTCTCATATATGGGGCTGGCACCCTACTCCTTTGAGCCACAGGTGCCTCCCAGGACTGCTCTTTACTGAGATCTGCACTCACTATTTTCTGAGCTGTCTTTTGTGCAGAGCCACACCGGCTGCCTGCAGCCTTTGCCAAGGGGGATTGCCCGTTAGCTCCTTCCTGCAAGCCTGGCTGGTTTCCGGTTATTCTCCTCTCGTGTAGGGTTCCTGGTCCTTCAGGGTGAGGGGTTTATGGTGGGATTGGCTTCCACCTCCTTGGGAGCAGGCACTTGGCCCCAGGCAGCCCATATCAGGGCTAGGCAATGAGGGGGAACCCAGCTCTGTCCCCTGCCTGTCACACACCACCATGGTCAAATTGAGGTCTTTGTCAGAATTTGTCCGAAGGAACAAATTTGGGTAGAAATTTGGTGGGGAGAGACTCTGGGTTTTTTTATTTGTTTGTTTGATTTTCAAGACAGGATAGAGTGCAGCAGCTTCATAGCTCTCTGCAACCTCCAACTCTTGGGCTTGAGTGATCCTCCTGACTCAGCCTCCCAAGTAATTGGAAATACAGATATACACCACCACACTCAGCTAAATTTTCCTGTTTTTACTAAAGATGGGGTCTTACTCTTGAGTTCAAGTGATCCTCCCATGTTGCTTCCCAAAGTGCTAGGATTAAAGGCATGAGCCATCACATCTGCCTGAAAAATTAGTTTAACACAACTGTCCAGCACTACATTAGTTTCCTAGAGCTGCCGTGATAAATTACCACAATCTGTGTAGCTTAAAACAACA